AGCAACACCCTGCTGGAATGCTACCGGCTTGGGGAAGAGTGGCTGGAGAGTTGACTGGCGGAAAAGGACCTGGGAGTGCTGGTTGACAGCTGGCTGACTATGAGCCGGCAGTGTGCCCAGGTGGCCAAGAGGGCCAACAGCCTCCTGGCCTGTATCAGAAATGGTGTGGCCAGCAGGACTAGGGAAGTGACTGTACCCCTGTACTCGGCACTGGTGAGGCCGCACCTTGAATACTGTGTTCAGTTTGGGGCCCCTCACTACAAGAAGGACACTGAGGTGCTGGAGCATGTCCAAAGAAGGACAACAAAGCTGGTGAGGGGTCTGGAGCACAAGTCTTATGAGGAGCAGCTGAGGGAACTGGGGTTGTTCAGTCTGGAGAAGAGGAGGCTGAGGGGAGACCTTATCACTCTCTACAACTACCTGAAAGGTGGTTGTGATGACATGGGGTGTTGGTCTCTTCTGCCAAGTAACTAGCAATAAGACAAGAGGAAATGGCCTCAAGTTGCACTAGAGGAGGTTTAGATTGGATATTAAGGAAAAATTCTTTACTGAGAGAGTGGTCAAGCATTGGAACAGGCTTCCCAGAGAGGTGGTGGAGTCACCATCACTGGAAATGTTCAAAAAACATGTGGATGTGGTGCTTAGGGACATGGTTTAGGGGGCATGGTGGCATTGGGTTAACGGTTGGACTTGATGATCTAAAAGGTCTTTTCCAACCTTAATGATTCTGTGATTCTGTGATCTACTGCTGAATACCCTCACTGAAGTGATGAGAACTCACAGGTTTAGACTTCATGCAGAATTCACATCTGTCATTTAATATGACAGCAAAAGACAGAAGCTATATAGCATATTTTAACATGCCACTGTAATAGAAGCGTAACTTAATTCAATCTGTTCTAAAGCATTCGAAGAAATGTCTTTAATTTTTCCCCAAACATTGGAGTTTGTCATACAGGTTCCCATTTTGTATCCAGGTACATTCTGTAACACCTATTTCATTTGGTGTCTGATCATTTAAAAATAGAATTGGTCATTATTCTAGTACTATTGTGGCTATTATTTTTGGTCATCAGGGCAAGACAGAGCTTTTTTTCTGATGAAAGACCACATATTAACAAATGTACATTTTAGCTTTATTTCAGATACTGGACTGGAGGGATATTTAAAGAAAAATTAAACCTCAGTAATACCTAGCAAATTTGACAGAGAAGTTATTTAAGGAAAGTTAAACATGAATGTTCTCATGTCATTTTTTATGGTTAATTTTCTCATTAAATCTGCTTTGTGGATTATGAAGTGGGTATTGACTTCTTGTATTAGAAAAAGATGGTATCTTAGCAATTCAGAACACACGCTCTTTTTCAAAAGAAAGTAACTCAGCTGATGTTTACATGAGTGGCACTAGAATATTTTATTCTCAGTGATGAAAATAAACCTCCACATTTTCCCATCTCTCTGAAATTTGTACTTTAGCTCAAAAAATAAGTATACACAAACTTTGGAAACTGTCAGCACAAATCAGCGCTGTATTTCTTGCATGCATCTGTAGGCAGACAGCTTGAAACAACAGCTCTGAAAGGAGTCTGAACTGTTCTGTTTCTCTGAATTCTGCCTGCACTCAAAGACCCAATAACAAAAAGTGGGTGGGTGGAGTAACAATGTTGAAAACTTCTGACTAGGAGTGAATCACAGACTTTTGACTGATCTCATGGAAAGGATACAACTGGCATATACAATCTCACATACCCAATGCAAGTTTCACCGGTAGTTAAAGAAACTTACTCCTATGCTGGATAAATTTTACTGGGACTTTACAGCTTGTGAAATCAACTAATAAAAAAGACTACATGACTCTTCCACTTCAAACATACTTCTTTTCATTGAATGGTCCAATATACTTTGCCTCATTTGGAAATATGTAGGTTCCAGCCCCATGAAACATGTTGTCTTTGAACTTGCCTTCTTAAACTGCCCCAGAAGGATGTTCTAGCCTTCCAGTACCATTCATTTGCATTTAATGAGAGATGAAGGATAAAGAAAATGGTTAATATTTATGCTTACAGTATTATTTCCTTTCATTACCATATCCTTTCAAATTGCTGTCTTTGAGTCTGCTATCATATTCAGATATGACAATGGAGAGGAAAGTGACTATTCTTTCAGATTTAGACAGGTTCCTGCTTCTACAAGGATTTCAGGTAAGACCTTAGAAGTTTTTGGCCAGCCACCATGTCCAATAAACCCCTCCGCTGCCGGTAGTCTCACAGGATCTTAACAATCTATGCAGCATGGGACTGCTGTCCGCAGCCCTGCAAATAACTCGTCTAACCTGACAGCCTGAGGGGTTAATTAAATTTACCAAAATTTCTTTCTGTGGATCAAGGCAGAGCAAGTCTTTCATTTGTTCAGCCTAGGCCACTAAGCCATGCCTGGGGATTTAAATCTGTGCTGTAAAGCACTTCGGTGTCATAATCTTAATTCTTATCATTGTACCAATATTTTTGTAAGAGACTGAAAAAAGGACAAACTAGATCTAATAAAGCTGTTTCCTAATTGCAGACCCTTATTTGTCTCGTTTCAAGGACTGTCTCCTTTCCAGCATCAACAAAACAAGCAGTTTTCCTACACTTACTAATTCATTCCTGGGGCACTCAGTAACCAAGAGCAGCCAAACAATGGTGTCTCTGTTCGATGGCCAGAGCTCCCCTGTTTCATTGTGGGATGTGTGTGTGGCGTGTATACACATGCAGGAGGGCCATGCCTAGAACACTATGTGTGCACAGCCCATTCATGCAGGGCTTTCACGGTGGCTGTGCCATGCTGGGCACCACCAGCACCATACTGCCCAGTGTTTCACCAGGGCTGGCCTGCCAGCAGTGACTGGTGTGTTTGCAGGAGCCTCAGGAGGCAGCAGGACATCTGAAGACGACAAGTGTCTCAAGTCTTCCAACTGGGCTGTGACAAGATTCACAGGTGGAAGAAGAGCCTGCGGCATTGGTCTGATCCCTGTCAGGTTATGACTTTCCTTTCTGTGTCTTTTTAAAGGTGGATATAGTGAGATATGCTCCATTCCAAACCCAGAGAAAGTTTAAAATTAAGTAATACCTAGAATTACCTTGTCATTTTTCCAGCTGCTCGTGTATGTAGTTCAGTTGGTGCCAGTGTGGACTCCATGACCATTCGTCTCAAGCACACCGTCCTTTTGCACTCCTCCTCTAGAAAACAAGACTGGTGGAAGACAGGAATTTTCACTTCAAGACAGAGAGCATCTGAGAGGCAAAAACCTGTGAGAATGTGCAACGCATTTCTTCTATTGCACAGAGCCATTTCTCCCAGAGCTGACTCTCCCATCTCCTGTGGACAGACTGCTTCTGGAGATGGACCCTTGGAGCATGCAAGCCCCACTAGAGCAGGCACCTTTGGGTGCCATGCACAGAGTGCGAGCCAGCAGCAGTCCCATTACCTGTTCTTCCACCACAGAGCCCCACTGTGGGGGTGGTGGGGAGCTGGCAGAGCAGACCCCAGTGGACCATCAGGGCAGTGGCTGTGGCTGTCTGCAGGACGACCCTGTGGAAACAGTCCCAACAGCAGCTTCTGGGTGTCTGGGGGCAGTTCTTACACAGGCAAAGCAGCATGTTAATTGGGTAATAGTCCATTTTTGCTGGTAAAATTTTTTGCTTTAAACTCCAACCTGACACAGGTTGCCCAGAGGGGTTGTGGAGTCTTTGTCATGGAGATATTCAAGACCAGATGGGATACAGTCCAGGGCAGCCATTATGGATGACCCTCCGTGTGCAGGGGACCATGGATCTCCCAAGGGGCCTCCCCACCTCAGGTGCAAAGCTTCGGGGTTACTTGTCATTTATGTAATTCTCAACCTCAAACTGGTATAGATTTCCTCCGTTTTAATCCCATACACCAATTTTTGCAAAAGGAATTAGTACCTACCAAGATTTTCTTACCATACTTGTCTATAGTTGAGAATATGAAAGACTTTAAAAACCACAGCATCTGTTGAGAAACCACCAGTGTCACTATTACAACTGTTGGCTGAAATTCAAATATATATATACAAATATATATTCAAATACACATCAGCTTGAAACCGAACATAATTGTCAGCGTGCTGCTTGATTGTGCGATTCTTTATAGGGGAGCTCTCAGTCCTGTCCGCGGGAAATCGTGTGAGGAGAGCGACGCGGCCGGGGGGAGAAAGTGTTACCACCCGTGGTTGCCAGGCGGAAGTGTCCATGGTTGCTAGGGAGGCCGGCGGCCCGGAAGGGGAAGGCGGATGCTTCCGTGTCAGGGAACGGTGCACCGGGCCAGTGCGGAGCGGAGAGGTGGGAGAGAGGGGCGACGTATGGGCGTCCCTGAGGGTGTGGAGGCGGGAGGAATGGCGCTATCGAGAGCGGAGGTTGAGGGGACGGGCGTGCGTGGGGGGCCCGTGAAGGAGGCTGAGGGGAGGTGCGTGGGCAGGGAATGGCGCCCTGGGAACATGGGTGGGAGGAGGGGACGGGGACCCTGCAATGAGGGAGGGACAGGGCTAGGAGCGGCGGTTTGAGGATGGTGTGGGGTGCTGGTGACTGGATACCCCTAGAGGTATGCAAGGCTCGGGGCGTGGGGAGGTGCTGGAGGAGTCGGCATGGAAGCGACCCAAAGGAGCGGAGCTGTTCTGTGCCGGAGGCTCCGAGCTGTGTGTTGAGAGAGCCCGTGTGACAGCGTCCTCGGGGACGGCTGCAGGGGTCTGTGTCCGGCTGCCGTGCTCACCCTCTTAGCCTCCCTTACTTATGCCAGGCTGCTCTGAGCGGAGTCAGCCTGTTTGTTAGATCCTGTTCAGTCCTAGTGGAGCTCCAGTGGGGCGAACTGCCACAAAAAGGGAAGTTTGCTTCTTTCCAAGCCCCAAACTGTTGCTGCTCTCCAAGCCCTTATTTGGGCTGTTACACATGCATGGCCGTTGCATGTTCTTGTCCTGGCTCTGGAGGTGCCAGTGCAAAGATACACATAATAAACTCCTGCCAGACTGTCCACAGCTGCTCGCCTGTCCCTGCAATAGCTTTCTGTTTGTAGGAGCATGATGCTAGGGCATGTGTTCATGTTGGGCCATTCTGTCATTCATTAAAAGACAGCAGCTGCTTAATGCTAATGGGCTGCTTGTGTCAGAGCTGGTGAAGATCCTGCTGTGAGAAGGAGCGGAGGGCTTCTATTTTCCAAGACAGGTCCCTAAGCACTCCCCTGCTTAGGCTCCACGGAGCGCTCAGCCATCTGGGCAGTTCCTTGCAGAAGGGTCAGGAGCAGGTTAATGTGGAGACAAACTATATATTTGGCTTCAGCTCCCCTGCAACCTTTTACTCTCAGCCCTGCAAACTCCTGAGCTGAAAAGTGGCAGGGCACAGGCTGCTTTCTGCTTTGAAAGTTTCGCTGAAGGTTTGTCGTTGGGGCTTTCATGTCCAAGAAAATTCCATGAGAGTGGCAGAACTGGAGCTCCCCGGCTAGGGAGCACTGCTGGTAGGCTCAACCTTTTGCCAGAGATCCTGCAGTTTTTAGTTGAACAACTGTGAGTGAATATGACTTTTATTTTCTAAAACCACAGAACTTGTTTAACAGTGTTCTAGAAAAATGTGCTTAGCTTCACATGCATACAAATATACCGACATACAGGTAATTAAACTGTGGTTTGAGAGAGTATCTTCTCTTGTCACATGGAAAAACAAATAATGTAATGTGTGCCCAAACATTTGCAATGTGCTAAGTCATCTTCATAAGGGCTATTTTTCTTCCATTCCTCAGCAAGAGAACATGAGTTCAGCAAGGAGGAAAAGAGGCAAGCCCAACAGAGGAGGAGGAAGAGGGAGAGGAGGCAGTGGCCATTCCAACAAGTCTCAACTTGGTGGAAATAGGAAATGTTCAACCAAAATTTGGGACGATGGAGATGACTTTTTTCTCCTTGAGGAACCAAGGCTGGAATCCAGGTCTTTCTGTTAATTTGGAGGGGTTTGGCACAGAGATGTTTGGGATACTTTGGGGCTGGTTTTTGGACACTTTTGAATATGCAGAAGTGTGAAGGGGTGATGAAGCAGTTTTTACATGTCTTTTTTGATTAACATTTTTAACATTTTATAGCTAGGAAGGTTTGGGGATTTTTAAAAAGATTAGAACCTCTGATTTTCTTCTTTGGTCACAAGGTAATTTCAGAATGTCTTTGTCCCGAAAACACTAATAAACACAGAATATTCATTTTTGTGTATTACAAAGCAGAAGCTGGGCCATGGAAAATAAGCAATTTAGAATGAATATAGTATCCTGAATGTGTTCTGACCAATCTAGCTTAGAAATACGTGGTTGTACTGTGGTCTGATAACAGCTTTACCTAGCAAAGTGTTTATTAAATCACTTTGGATTTGACATAGGATAAAATACATATATGCATGCCTCTGTGTGTGCAGATATAGACACACACATCCCGGTAATGTAAGAATGAACCTAGCTGAATAATCCTTAGGTGATGGACTTGTCTTATTTTGGTTTTCCTGTTTTGAATTACAGGGTTGGGTCCTAACACATCCCAGTTCAGTCAAGATCATTTGAGACAGGCAAATAAGTCCTTGTTATGGTCTGTTTTCATTTTTAGATCAAATACTTCTGCCAGAAGAAGAGGGCAAATGAAACGGAGACCTGAAGAGAGAATGCCTCTGCAGACCATACACATGACATCAGAGAACCAGAGAAGAGTGAAAGAACTTCTTCAGGAGCTTCAAGGGCAGGAGCTGGCTCCTGAATCAGAGTTAGTTTAAACAAAGGCACTACTTCTAGCTCTTCTAGATGAGCATGCTTTAATATGCACACTGTTAGAAATGAAAACGGTATTTTTTCTTTTAACTTTTCATTTGCTCTCAGGTCCTGTGGTTTTGAGTCTGCTTTGTTCTACAATATTAACTCTAGGAAAGGGATAGCAGAATCCTCCATTTAAATGGAGGATTTAAAACTGCAGAGGCAGAGTTTTATGTCTCCTCAACAGTATAATTTTGTTTCATATTAATTTGATAACTCTTTTTATCAGAGTAGCTGGTTCTGGTGAAGACAATGATGAACCTGATTACCTTGATGATGAACAGTGCTGGTCAACAGATCAGGAAGTTTCTCACATAATACAAAGGTCATCTGCTAAGCCAGCTGAGCACAGAATTGTGGAAAGTGAAGTGTCTTCATTTGCTGTGCACAAACTCTCCAGGTGATGCTTTTCAGTGAATAATTTGTATCCTGAAGAGGTAAATCACTAGTCTGGATACTGTAAGCCCTCAGTGCTTAGACTTCTTGACTCCAGGGAAGTTATATGTGCAGAACTGATTAGTTTGTATCTATTTCCTACAAATTTATATATTAATTTAAAATAATGGTTTATGAAAATAAATCACTCTGGCCTTTTATCAGTAAAGTTTTCAGTTCTTTCTCCAAGACAATGAAACAGATACTGGGAAAGCTCAGGGACAATTGCTGTTATACATATGTTTCTTCCAGATACGTAATGTTTCAAAACCATGTAAATGTTCTTCATCCATTTTGCTCAGATATGAGCATTTATTAACTGCTGTTTCTTTGTTTGAGAGTGTTTTATATGTGAGAGGACTCAGCTTTTTTTCTGAAGAGTTTAATTTATATAGTTCGGCAGGGAAATCCAATCTTGTAACTATTATGTGCTACATTCTGAGGTGTGAGATAGAATCATAGAATAGTTTGGGTTGGAAGGGACCATTGACGGTTTAGTCCAACCCCCCTGCAATAAGCAGAGACATCTTCAACTAGATCACGTTGCTGAGAGCCCCTTCCAACCTGAGCTTGAATGTTTCCAGGGATGGGGCCTCTCTGGGCAACCTGTTCCAGTGTTTCACTGCACTCACTGTCAAAGATTTCTTCCTTCTATCTAGCCTAAATCTACCTTCTTTGAGTTTTAAACCATTACCCTTTTTACTATTGCAACAAGCCCTGCTAAAAAGTCTGTCCCCATCTTTCTTAAAAGCCCCCTTTAAGTACTGGTAGGCTGCAATAAGGTCTCCCCAGAGCTTTCTTTTCTCCAAGCTGAACAACCCCAACTCTCTCAGCCTTTCCTCATAGGAGAGGTTGTTCCATCCCTCTGATAATTTTTGTGTCCCTCCTCTGGACCTGCTCCAACAGCTCCGTGTCTTTCCTGTGCTGAGGGCTGCATAGCTGGATGCAGGACTCCAGGTGGGGTCTCACCAGAGTGGATTAGAGGGGCAGAATCACCTCCCTTGACCTGCTGGCCATGCTTCTTTTGAGGCAGCCCAGGATACGGTTGGCCTTCTGGGCTGTGAGCGCACGTTGCTGGCTCATGTCCAGCTTTTCATCCACCAATATGCCCAGGTCCTTCTTGGCAGGGCTGCTCTCAATCCCTTCATCCCCCAGCCTGGACTGATACTAGGGATTGCCATATAAACTAATTTGTCACCTTATAAACAACAGACTAGCATTCACAGGCACCAAATTACTGCCTGCCACTGTCGTGTAAAATATCATCAGTATTTTGATGTAGTAATAATATCTCATGCTATACATGCTTCTTTACTGTAAGCCTAATCAAGCAGATCTGTGGTTATTTTGCTTCAAACAAGTCTCTGTCACTCATTTGTTGCCATGTTGTCTC